CGGGATATTTGTTTGATAATGCCAAGATATGTTGTACTTTTTTTGTTGTTTATCTCTGTAAAGCTGTGCTACTTTGCATATCTAAAACATCTGATTGGTGTAATAAAGAGCAGAATAGCCCATAGCTAGGCAGGAGAGATGGATAGGTGAGGATGCCAGGCAAAGAATAAATAGGAGAAATCTGGGTTCTAGAAAAGAGTGAGATGTGAGACAAGAAGATGGAGAGGAGGATGCCAGGGCCAGCCACCCAGCTACAGAAGCAGTCATGGTGTAAGAAGAAAGAAAGATATGTAGAATAAAGAAAGGTAAAAACCTAGAGGCAAAACATATTTAAAGAGAAACAGGATAATTTAAGTTAGAAAAGCTAGCAAGAAATAAACCAAGCTAAGGCTGAGCATTCATATGTAAGAATAAGCCATGTATTGTTCTGGGAGCTGTGTGGCAGGCCCCCAAACAGTAAAAAACAAAACAAAACAAAACCCTTCATGCTTCTGACATATCAACAGATAGTCCCTAGAGTTCATAATTTACAAATATTGAGTCTAAATCATTGGTTAAAATGTCACATATTTACTCATCCTTCCAAAATTTCACCTGTTTAATAAAGAATCAATAACTATTTCTCAACCGATGAGCTTTCTATCACTTATCCAGAAAGATAATGAAACTGTTTGCTATATTTCCTTATATAATATCTTTGACTCATTAAGAAAAAATATCACTTAGACTCCTAGATCTCTATTGGTCACAGTTCAATGGTGCTCCATTTGATTGAGACCTCTTCCTATACTGGTCATATATTTCTTACTAATTATTCTGTTTATTAATGATTAATAGAAAAGATACACTATGTCATGCTTGTGCTGTGAAAAAACACCATGATTAAGGAAACATAAAGAGTTTCACTGGACCTACAGTTGTAGAGAGTTGTATTTATGATGGTAGGATGAAGGCATGGGAGTGAGTGGCTGGAAGAGCAACTGGCAGCTGACATCTTGGGAGGTAAAGAGCTCACTGAGGACTATGGGGTGCTTTTGGAGCCTCAAAACTCATGCCTGTGACACACTTTACCAAACAAGAATGCATCTCTTACTCCTTTTCAAAATAGCCCTACCAACTAAGGACCAAATATTCAAACATAAGAATCTATGAGGGTCACTCTGATTCAAACTACTACATTTTATAAACCATAAATAATTCACCCAGGAAAGGAATATTTGAGATGGGGTAATGACTCAGTGTGTAATGTACATACTATACAAGTGTGAGGGTTGTGAGTTCTGATGCTCAGAACCCATGTAAAAGCAGGATTCTGGAAATGTGCCTCTATAATCCCAATGCTTCTACGACAAGATGGGAGATGAGACAGGAGAATCTCCAGGAACTTTTGAGCCAGCTAGCCTGACATAGAAAGAGTCAAACAACAAAGAATAAATTCTGTTTCAAACAATGTGGAAAGTGAGGCTGACACTCAAACTGTAATCTGACTTTCCCAAATTCATGGTGGCATATGTACATCTGCACCCACACATGCTCATGAACCACAAGCT